AACAATATGTGTTTTAGTACAGCAATGCTTTGTAGCTTTGTAGCTTTTTAATGCAAGTCATTCATTTCCTTGTTTAAACTTAATTTTATTTTTTTGGATGCTATTGTAAATGGAAATATGTTTCTTTTGGGTTGTACAGAAACACAAATGATTTTGTGCTTTCATCTTACACCTTGCATCTTAGCTAAATTTATTAATGCTAGCAGGATTTCTGTGGATTATTTACAATTTTCCATAGGCTCATGTCATCTTTGAGGAGAGATAGTTTTACTTCTCACTTTCCAAATCAGGTATCTTTTCTTTTTTGTTACTTATTCTGGATCAAACTTCTATTATAATATCAATAACAGCTGTGAAAGTGGGCATCCCAGCAGGCATGGTGCTCACATCTATAATCAAAGCTACTTAGACAAAGGAGTATCAGGACTTGAGGCCAGTAGATGAAAAAAGTTAGGGAGAGACTGTCTCAAAAAACAAGCGAGGCATACTAGTTCACATCCATAATCACAGTTACTCTGGAGGCAGATCCAAGGCAGCGTCAGGGGAGGGGTAGAAAAGAATGAGACCCTGAGTTCAAACTCCAATACCACTTCCCCCCAAAAGAAAGTGGGCATCCTCATCTTGCTCCTGATTCTAAGTGGAAAACTTTTATTTTTTCAGTTGAGTAAGATGACAGCTGTCTTTCTAATGAGTGCCATATATCAAGTTATGGAAGTTCTACTTCTATTCCTCTATTCTTCTAGTCGGTTTTTTTTAAAAAAAATTGTTCCTTTTTTATTAGGATATACTCATTATACATGGGGGATTCATTGTGACAATTTCAAATAAGCTTATATTGGACATTGATTAGATCACCCCATCTCTCCCCATCCTACTTAAAACTATTACAAGAGGTTTTGTTGCGGGAGTTTGCTAGCTGAGATACGGGACTCTTGAGGCAATTAGCAGGAAGCAACGTTTTATTGTGCCAGCACAGACTCAGCAGACTCATGCACAAAGGCTGAGCCCTGAGGACAAAGGGGTCTCACCTTATATACCCAGGCAAGCAGGTTACAGAAGCAAAAAGCAAGGTCTAATCCATATATGGTTATACTTAATTTTATTGGCTACTTTATCCTAGTGCTACATGACTTTCCCCTTCCTGGTGCTATGTGACCTTCCTCATGTTCAGATTTCTCAGGTTTTATCTCTCTGCTATGCCATCCCTACCTCCTTGCTACTTTCTCAGGACTCAGGCCTAGGCTGTTTTCTTCTGATCCTCCATCCTCCCATCCCCTGCTACAGTTTCTTTGTTCTATGTTGTATATGAAGTCCATCAACCATATTCCCTCACCTTAATCTTCTTCGTTCACCCTCCCTGCCCCCCCAACACTGTACCTATTTTACAGTTCTGTATTTCATTATTAATATCTAAGTCAATGTTCAAATGTATCCCCACTGTGATATACTTTACTTTGGCCCATTCAACCCCTTCCATTACTCTCCCACCTCCCATTTTTCAACAGCTTTCAATACATATTTTTGTTTCCTCCACCTTCACAGATGTTTTATGATACTGTTCATGCTCTATTGCTCTTTTACTTTCCCTCCTTCCCCGAGTTCCATGGAGTATTACCACTATTACGAACATGCTCTATATATGAGTTTTTATATGACCATTCTGTTTCTGTGTATGTTTATCTTTTGGATTTATCTTCCACATATGACAGAAAACATACAGTCTTTTTCTTTCTGAGCCTGGCTTACTTCATTTAACCATCATGTCCTCCAATTTCATCCATTTACCTTCAAAACCATGTCATTATTCCTTATGGCTGAGTAAAACTCCATCTTTTTTTTTCTTATTTTTTAATACAGGGTCTTGCTAAGTAGCCCAGGCTGGCCTTGAAATTGGTTTTACAGGTGTATACTACCAATCTGTAATTCTGAATGTTTTTCATCTTGAAGGGGTGTTGTATTTTTTATGTTCTCTGACAACTGAAATGAATATGTTTTTCTCCTTTGTTCCATTAATGTGGTATATATTGACTTTTGTATGTTGAACTACCCTTGAATTTCTGAGATAATTTGTTACTGCATTTGGTTTGCTAGTATTTTGTGGAGGATTTTTTCATCTATGAGATATTGGTCTGTATTCCCCACCTCCCTATTACCAGGGACTGAACCCAGGGGTCTTGTGCATGCTAGGCTAGTGTTCTATCACTTGAATCACACCCCCAGCCCTTTTGTTTGTATTTTGTTTTTGAGATAGGTCTCTCTCCCTAACTCTGTGTGGGTTGGCCACCAACTCCTGATCCTCCTGCCTTTGCCTTCCAAAAAGCTGGGACTATAGGCATTTACTGCCATGCCTGGCCTGTACTATTCTTTGTTTGTGGTCTTTGACTTTGGTATTAGGGTAATTCTGGTCTCATAGAATGAATTAGGAAGTGTTATCTGTTCCTTTCTCATCAATTTTTTCCTTTTTTTTTTTTTTTGCTAAGAGATTGAGGGGAGTTGGCATTATTTGTTCATTAAATGTTTGGTAAACTTCACCAGTGAAACTATCTGGTCCTAGACTTTTCTTTGGAAGTTTTTTAATAGACTTAATAAATTAAATTTTTAAATGGAAATTTTGATTCACAGCAAAATTGAATAGCAAGTACGGAGTTCCCATATACTTCTTGCATCCCACAGGTCTCCCCTATCATAAATATTCTCTACCAACATTTGCACATCATTACTGTTGAAAGTTCACACAACTCCCATTACGATTCACTCTTGGGAGATTCTGATTAGTGAATTAATTTATTCATTTGTTATGGGCCTATTTAGGATTTCTAATGCTTCTTGAGTCAGTTTTGGTACTTTGTGTCTTTCTAGGAATTTTCCCATTTCTTTCAGGTTATCTAAAAGAAATGGGAATCTACAAGATTCCTTTTTAATGTATTGATGTCTCTGCTTTCATTTGTTTTGTTTTTGGCGGTACTGGGTTTGAACTCAGGTCCTCAACGTTTGCTAGGCAGGCACTCTACCACATGAGGCACTCTACCACATGAGACACTCTGCCAGCTCTCTGCTTTCATTTTTGATGTTATAATTATTTGCATTTTCTTGTTTTCCTAGTCAATCTGGCTACAGATTTGTAGATCTTTTCAAAGAACCAACTTTTGATTTCTTTGATTTTCTCCACTGTTTTTCTAGAATTTGTTTTGATTATCTCTACTGTAATCTAACTTCTTTCCTTCTACTAGCTTTGGCTTATTCTTTTTTCTAGTTCCTTAAAGTCTAATGTTAGATTGATTTGAAGTTTTATATTTTAAAAACTTAGTTCATCAACTGTTTATTATAATAACTGACATTTTCAAACCAACACATTAGTGTGGCAGTGGTGAGTGGCTACAAGAGTATATACACAATTTTTAAAGTTTATTTTTTGGTGGTATGGTTAAACATACATAAAATTTATCATTTTAACCGCACAATTCCATGGCACTAAGTACAATGACACTGTTGCACATCCATCACTACTTTCCATTTTACAACTGTTTCTTAATCCCAGACTGAAAACTCTGTATCCATTTGAATACTTCCCATTCTGCCCATCCCCAGTTGATGACCACTGTCCTACTTTCTGCCTCTGAATTTTTCTATGTAACTCATATAAATAGAATCATAAAATACTTGTCCTTTGTGTCTAACCTATTTCATTTAGAATGTTTTAAAAATTCATCTGCATTGTAGCATGCATCAATATTCCATTTGTTTTCTTTTTGAGATGCTGGGGATCAAACCCAGAACATGCCAGGCAAGCACTATACCATGAGCTAACCTGCTCCCTCACCCCCACCTTTTTAAGTTTTGAGATGGTTTTGCTAAATTGTCCAGACTAGCCTCAACCTTGTGATCCTCCTGCCTCCTGAGTGCTGGGAACTACAAGTGTGTGTCACCGTGTCCAGCTTCCATTAGTTTTTAATGATGAATGATATTCCTTTGTACGTACATACTAGATTGTATCCATTCATTCATTGATAAGACATTTGGGTTATATCTAACTTTTGGCTATTATTAACAATGCTGCTGCAACACTGATGTACAAGTATGTATTCTAGTCTCTGTCTTCAATTTTTTTGGGTATCTACCTACAAGTGGAATTACTAAGCCACACAGTAATGTTATGTTTAATTTTTTGAGGAACTTCTATACTGTCTTCAATAGTTCAATAGCTTTACATTTACACTGCCAAAGCACAAGTATTCCAATTTCTCTACATCCTTGTTAGCAGTTTCAACAGCCATTATTTTGCTTTTTTCTTAATAGCCATCTTAATGATATGAAGTGGTATTACTTTATATTTCCTAAATAATTAGTGATGTTGAGAATCTTTTGATGTACTATTGACTATTTGTATATACACTTTAAAGAACTGTCTTTTCAAATCATTTGCCCATTTGGCTGGTTTTGGTTATAGACTTGCAGGATATATATGTGTGTATAATATATATACACATACATATACGTATTTATGTATATATGTGTATATACATATACACACATATATATGTATATATATATATATGTATATATATTTGAACCTTTATTAGATACGATTTGCAAATATTTTCTCCCATTCTCTAAGTTGCCTTTTCCGTGTACCTTCATGTACAAAATGTTTTAAATTTTGATGAAATTAAACATATCTGTTTTTTTCTTTTGTTGCTTATTCTTTTGGTGTTAAATTCAAGAAATCATTGCCAAATCCAATGTCATGAAGAATTCCCCTTATCTCTTCTTCTAAGAGTTTTATACTGAATAAACCTAAAGGAAAAGGCAAAGAACCAATTGTAAATAGTAAAAGCTATATGAAAACTGGAACTTTTCTGGGATGAAAAAGGAATATTCACAACAAAGAAGGCAGAGAAATTTATTGCCTCTTGAAACTATGAATATAGCTTAGATGAATCAGACAAAAAAAAATTGTTGACATTAAAGTACATTATTATGACCAGATTTGTCTTTTGAAGATTTCTGATAGGCACTTCTGCAACTAATTTGTATGGTTTGATATAAGTGTTTTGTGAGTATTTTTAAAGGCCAATAAAAAGGCATCTTATGATGTTTTACCATGTAAATATTACATATGAATTGACAGATTGCATTTTTCTTTCAGTTTCTATGATGTTCTAGAAAAATTCCACCTTTTCCACATATATTATAAATATCAAGCTAGGTATTTCTCAGTTTTCAAAATGAGTCAATAGTTAAGAATTTGTTTCCTTAATGTATGTCAGACTTGAATCCATTCAGAACACAGAATCCCTTGCAAAACGCAGCATAAGATGTTTTGTTTAAGTACTTATAAGCGTAGCTCTAAAATATTTTTTACTTTATAGTATCGAGCTTTTTAGCCCCTTCACTTTGGCATCCCTGTAAGCCTCTTTTGTAGCCCAAAAACTATAATAAAAGGAATACAATTCCCTCTATCTGCACTCCCAACTATTAGTTTATGAGTCAGAAAACTTTTTCTATAAAGGACCAGACTTTGAAGGCCTTGGTGTATCTATTCAAGTATGGTGTCATATACAAAAACAGCTTAGACTACAGTAAGTGAATGGGTGTGGCTACATGTGACTCATGGCTATGGTTTTGCCTGTCCTTGCTTTAATGCACCAAAATGAAATCTGTTCATATAAAATATCTAAATATTATAAATATCTATTTATAATAAGGGCCTAAAACAAACTCTCAAATTTTTCTTTTATACTTTTTTTTTTAAACATAAACACCATATTACCTGGGAAATATTCTCTAAATATATCTACAGTTTCACTCTTTTCTTACCCTGAGATATTTATTAAGAAAGGGTAATCTGGAGTCTAATACATGAGATATCTTTGAGGCTATACATTATGTAAAGAGGAAGCGATATTACTTCTAGCATTATAAGAAACCCTGACCCCAAACACTGACTTTTGGTTAACACACGTGTCCAACATACTGAATGTTAAAGGGCAATAAGTTCTCCCCGGCAATGATTGCAGCAATTGAAAGTTATATTTTCATATCTAGTATAGGGATGAAATCGTCCAATATTTTTCTTTGTAGCAAGTAATGTGGTTGGTGAAGAGTCAGAAAATGGATTATCAGGTGAGCTTTCTATACAGGTAACTGGATCCAAAATACGCAGAACCTAAGGAAAATGAGAGGTAATGTCAGATGTATGCAGTATGGCCTTTAGATTTACTGATGCATAACTATCTATAAAGTTCCATTTCACTAATATGAAACCATCATAAAAAATAACATTTGTGTGGTGAATCTGAGGAGCCAAAAGCTATGAGTTTAACAATGATGCCTAGCTATTACATTATCATCGTAGGTTACCTATTTTTCCAATATTCATGAAATTAATGTTCTTTTATGGATACTGATGGAAATAAAAACCAATGAAAATTAAAAAATAAGGTTATACCAACTCTACCTTATGTGACATCAATTTTTATCTTTAACCAAAGGCAGATGCACCCATCGCCTTTCTTTTTCCATCTTTCCTTTTATCTTTATTCTTCTACTTCAATACAAGAATCATATTTCAAAGCCTTTGGTCACTTTTTATTTGTAAAATAAATAGCTTTTTATTTCTTTTTCCAATTTATAGGCACTGTTTTATGTTAACAGCCATGTTCTTATTTCTTGGGTTCCAAAACAGTATGCTCTCCTAATTCTTCTGTTTTGACTCCCTATTCTTTCTCCTTGACTAAAAGACTGAAAACAGAGGAACTCTTGGTTAAAAAAATTATCCAGTTAAGGACAAGGATAACATTTCTGGCTTATAGTTCTTATTTTTCATGTTCAAATTCTCTCAGTAATCACCACATGAAGAATATGATTTATATTTCATAGGAGGTGGACAATGCAACTGGAAAGAGATTATGAAGTGAACCAAGGAAAGGTCTTTCTTTCTTTCTAGGTAATTATGGCTTATTCAAAGGAGTTTTCAGGAATGGCTGAAGACGCCCATTTCCCTAGCTCTCATGTCGGTCCAACAAATTTTTTTTTTCTTTCTAGATCACCACCATATCCAAAGAGCCACAACTAGGGCTGGTGAAATGGCTTAAGTGGTTACGAGCGCCTGGCTTGCAAGCATGAGGTCCTGAGTTCAAACCCCAGTGCTGCCAAAAAGTAAAAAAGAAAAAAGAGCCAAAGCTACATTAAAAATATTCCAGCATCACTTCAGAACAAATGTTCTAGAGAGAACAAAATTGTATTAGTGAGTTTGTCTGAGGGGACTACAGGATATGGGAGAGAGAAAATGTTAGAGAACGAAAAATATTGAAATAACTCACTTGTATATGAATATAATAAAATGCACTTTACAGTAAGCTGTTGAATATTAGGGGAGCATGGTGACAGAGAATGAGTAAGTAATGGAGGGGAGGGGTTAACTTGGCAAAAGTACAATATATACAGACCTGAAGTACCAAGGTAAAATCCCTTTGGACTATCAATATACACTTAAAAAAAAGTAGGGAAAAGCAAATCTTTTCAGGGTGTGGGTAACAATGGGAGGGGGTGGACACAAAGAAAGGGGGAATGAGGGTGAATATGGTAGATGTATTTTATATCCATATATGGAAACAGAGGAATGAAACCTGTTGAAATTGTTCTAAGAATGGGTGGGGGGAAAGGGAGAATGATGGAGGGGGTAAATCTAACTAAGATATATTGTAAGCACAAATGTAAATATGACAATGTACCCCCCTGTACAACTATTATATACTAATAAATCACAAAAAAGAACTACTGTTGTCGTTTAGAACTTCTATTTGTCAACTAGATACTGTCATTTCGATTTGATTTTTGAGATTCTTCTGTTATTATGGAACTAGTTAAGTGTTAGAGGACAAACAAAGATGAAAGGCTTATGTTAAAATTGCTTATAAATATGGAGGGGGAAATAAGAAAGATCTTCACATACTCTATGTTATGTTATCACATTATAGGTCTTTAAAAAGAAAAACAAAATACTAAGTGAATTCAGTAGAAGACGACTGAATGAACAGAAAGGATTCTGAGGTGATGGAGATGGATTTTAAGCAGGGTGCCTTTCACAGTGTGGAAGATGGAAAAATGGGTGGACATTTAACAGATAATAGAAGAACAGAGAAATGTAAGCTATTGCAATTACCTACCTAAAAAATTATGGCACCCTGAAGTGGGGCTGAAAGGTTCAAGGAAGAAGTGCTACCAATTGTGTTAAATGAGGGAATGTGGTAGGCTAAAAGACGGGGAGAACAAGGGGATCTAGACCAAGCCCTGAGGATACCCACATTATAAAATAAAATAGAATGGTCAGAGAAAAGAGAACAGTCAGGAAGATATAGGGTTAGTTATATAAACCAAGGGAAGACAGTGTTTCAACAAAAGGGGAATGATCAACTATACCAAACATTGCTGTAGCAACCAAGAAGACAGTGACATAACTTCCTAACAAAGAAAATAGTAGAAAAGAAGAAACGTTTTGGATAATGATGATGAATTTAGTTTTAGGTATTCATTTAGTAAATAGTTGGGCACTTAATTTATTATGCCAAACCATAAGGAAACATAAAGACATAAGCCCTTTAGTAGTTTACAGTTTGGAAGGGGGAGAAAAAAGCAATTACAATTTAACTTGATAAACAGCTATACTAGATATGTGTACAAAGTGCAGTGGAAGCCTGAAGGCATATCTAGATTTGCCAGTGAAATTAGAGAAGACTCATTCATATAGGTTGGGCAACGATAAAAGTCCTGGGAAAGCAGTCTCTGTAGAAGGAAAAGTATACACAGAGGCATGAGATACAATGGTACATGCATGGACTGGAAGGTCATTAATACAGCTAGAATGTGAAGTGTGATGGGTAGGGACACTTGGGAAATGATCCTTGAGAAGGGGGCATAGAAAAAATTATGAAAAGTTTTCTATACTACATGAACAAATTCAGACTCTATACTGAGGAAGACTGAGAGCTGTTTGATGATTGTAGTGTCATTTGTGAAATAACTCTCTGGCAAGGCAGGAATATTAGGGGGCTATTTGCAATAATCTATGCTGGAGAGGAAGTGTTTAAACATGGGAGAGGAGGTTAATTAGAAGTGACTGGTAAGATTTGTGAACAATAGGATTGGGGATGAAGGAAATAAATGATTGTACCATTTATAGAGAAATTTCTAAGTATGTATATAGGAAACTGCTATAAGCTTTATATACACTGTTTCACGGAGTACTGAAAATATCATATACAGTTGGTATAGTTCACTAACACTTGCAATAGAGAAGGAGGTTCTCTTCTTCTTTGGGGTAGTGGAAGAGGAGGGTGTACAAATGTGAAAGCTAGGAGGAGAGAGACTGTTCTATTTTTAGCTATCTGTAGAATAAGCAGATTGAAATGTGCAGTTGGATATAAATCTCTTGAATTCAGGGAAAAAAGTCTCATCATAAAGCTAAGGGAATATAATTCCCAAGAGAATACAGAAACTATGCTAAGTGAGTAGAGTCTCAAGAGTAGTCACAGGAAGATGACACCCTCTCTCCCCCTCAAATGCTGAGAAAGAATGGTCACAGAAGTAGTGACGACCTGACAGAGTATACTGTATCAGAAACTAAAAATGTCTGAAAGGGACAAGCAACAGATTCCTATGGAACATCAACATTTAATGAAGGAATAAAGTGTATAAAGAAGAGCTCAGAGAGGTAGCTCAAGGGCTAAGAATACTGTCACAGAAGTCAAGGGAAGGGAGTTTCAAGGAAGTAATGTACAACACAGTAAAATATGATTATAAAGTAAACAATGATGACCTGATAAAAGTACTTGATAACTTCTTAGCCTTTTGGCTAAGATCAAGTGAAGAGTGCTTTTTGAGAACAGTGGGGCTGGAAGTTGTCTACATTTTTTAAGTGATGCTAGGAATTAAGGAATAGATGGTATGTAAATATAAATAAGGATAGACTTTTCTAAAATTCCTGGCTGTGCAGGGAAGGTGATAAGGCTACATCCAGTGAAGCTATGACAGAAGGAAGAAAATGCCAATAGAGAGAGAAGGGTAACTGTTGAGGGGAAGCCTGATGAGCCTGGAAGGGATCTATGTTTTGAGGAAGAGGAGGGACATATTTTCCTGGCATATCATACATGCAGGCTTTTAGATATCAAATAGGACCTTGAGGGAGTTTTCTGCCTATTCTCCTTTATCTTCTGTGAATTAGGAACCAAAGTTACCTGCTGAATGGAAAGTGGTAGTTTAATGGGTATCGAAACAATGACACAAGACTGGGATTCTCTGGGTATCTGGGATTCTCTGGAGAGGATTGAGGAGTAAGATACTGCAGAATGACGTATACCCTATATAGGAAAGGAAGAAGGAAGAGAAGCTAGGAGAGCAACCTAATGAGATTGAAAAAGTATAAGGGTCAGGGGATAAAAATGTATTCAAGGAACAGGGGTAGTCAGAATGAAGGAATGAGAGCTAGAACAAAGTTGAGATCACAGATGACAGATTTTAATAATGGAAAATTTAATAGTTGAAGATTTTAATACTGGAAAAGTTCAAGTGAATGATAAGGCTCAAGATGGGGATGGGAGTTGGATACTAAAGTTTTAAAGGCAGTGAACTTGGCTGATACCACAAAGCTGCAAGATCACACTCTTTGACAGGTCACCTACATAAGCCCTGAATTCTTCCATGGCTGTAGATAATTGGTATACATTATTTGATTCTATAGTATTTGGCACATTGCCATCTATATGTGGGAATTAAATAATTTCCTCAGATCAAAAGTAAGCTATTTAATTTACAAGGATTACTAAATTAAAAATTCTACATAGTTGTTTTTATGTAAAAATGAGGGCTGAGGCAGTGGCTCAAGTGGAAGAGCACCTGCTTAGCAAGTACCGGGCCCTGAGTTCACATGCTAGTATGCCAAAAAACCAAACCAAAGCAAAACAAAACACCAAAAACCAAAAATGAGTATAAAGGATTATCAATGATTTGTTAGCTAAAAAAGACAGGAACTCTTCCAAAACAATTACATTTTTCTCCTTAGAATAGAGCAGTAATGTTAGAAAAAAAATTAAAGCTCAGAGAGAGAAATAATGTTTCTCCAAGATTGTAAGTTTATTAGCATGAAAATTAGGTTCAGATCCCACATTTTCCAACTCCCAATACCAAACATTTTAACATGTCACCTTTCAGTAAAGGGAGAGTAAAATCCCACAGATCGTGAAGGAAGTTCCATAGATCACCAAAGAGAAAATATGTTACCTTTTCAGCCATTTTCTCAGCTGGGGTATTGCAGAACTCAACTGATGATGGAATCTTTTTTTCACTGCCATTGCCAACATTTCCCAGGAGATGAGCATTTACTGCTTTTGCCAACTTGTGATTTGTTACTGATAGTTCTGCAGTGCTGTGGGGTTGTGTGCTAGGAGAGTAGGTCTGCTCTCTTCCCCACTGTAAGGAGACCAAGAGCTCCTCCAAAATTCTGCATAAAGCACATGTGAATACTGAACAAAATGTAAAAATCCACAGTAATAAATAAGTGAGCAACGTATTGCTGACATCATTAGTATCTTTCTTAGAGTTTAATAAATTTGGAAGTCTGGCTACATAAATTAGATTATAGAAAGCATCTGGCAATCTACCAGGTGGTTATCTGGAAATCACTCAACAAATAATACTTTTTAAAGTTATCATATTTTAGTATATGAACTACTGATTTGTTTGTGAACCTATGTTTTTTCCTTTCCTGATGAATTCTATTCACTGATATTTGAATGTTAAGCCAACCTACAATACCTAGAATAAACCCTACTCGGTCATAGTGTATAATCCTTTTTCTTTATTGTTGGATATTATTTACTAAAATTTTGTTGATGATGTTTACATCTAAGTATGTAGTATTCTTATAACGTCTCTGGTTTTGGTATCAAAATAACACTGGCCTCATAAAATAAGGTGGAAATTGTTCCTCTCTCTTCTATAGTTTATAAGGATCTGTATAAATTTGGTTTAATTTTTGCCTTAGATGTTTACTAATATTCAGCAATGAATCCGTAGAAGCCTGGAATTTCTTTCAAAAGATGTTTTTTTAACTCCCAATTCAATAGTTTTTTAATAGGTTAGAGTTATTTAAGGTTATATAGCTATATCTATATCTATCTATCTATCTACCTATCTATCTATCTGCTCTTGAGTGACCTTTGATAACCTTTGAGCTTGTCCATTCATTTCAGTTATAGAATTATGGGCATAAGGTTGTTAACATACTCTTATTATCTTTCCTATGTTTCTATAATATGTAGTTTACACTCTCTTTAATTCTTGATACTTAAGTGAATCTTATTTTCTGATTAGACTGGCTAGAGACTTCTTAAGTTTATCTGTTCAAAAAACTAGCATTTGGCTTTCTTTTACATTTATTTTAGCTCTCACCCATATTATTTTCTTCCTTCTGTTTATTAATTTATTTTATTTCTTGAAGAGCTTAGATTACTGATAACATTCACCTTTCTTATTTCACCCCAAAGGCATTTATTGTTGTTTGAGGCAGGGTGTCACTAGGAAGCCCAGACTGGCCTTGAACTCACAATCCTCCTGTCTCAGCACTCTGAGTGCTAGTAGTTCAGGCATGTGTCTGACCAAAATAAGTACTTAAAGATGCATTTCCCTCCAAACACTGACATATAATTGCCTCCTATAAGTTTTGATATTTTGATATACTGTGTTTTACCCTTCTAATATTCCATATACTTTACTCTTAATTGACTCTATTGGTAACAAATCAATCACACAAAAGTACAAAGAGCTTTTAAGGAAGACTACCTTATTTTTTTTTAGAAGTCTATCAGTTTGAAAGTTCTGGATTATACAGATATGGAGACAAAACTCTAACACAATGTAAGAGGAAGTGCTCTCTTCTATTCTTTTAGGCCTCCTTTCTCTCAGGGTATCGATTTTAAAGTTCAACTTAAAGAATATGTACAATAAGTGTCAAATGTACACACTAAAAAAACTATCACCATAGCAAAAGTTGCAGTAGAAGAGCTCAGCATGTAAACATACTTCTGGGTAGCTGTCATTTCCTGACGAAACTGCTCTCGTTCACTTAGGAGATCTTGTATAGCACTTTGTGCATCACGGTTTTGACGCTGTAAAACTGCTCGTGAGTTGGTTAACTCATCTGCCATTACCCTGGAAAAGGTTAAAAATTTTACATACAAATTCTCTGACAATAACAGCACACACAAGTTAATATTACTTTGTGATTGTCACTTTCATAAACTAACAAAGATTTAACAATCAAATTGCTTTGCGGTTTTAGAATTTTCATGAAAAAACATTGAAAAATGTTTATGAACTTAGAGCGTCTTACACAGATTTAGCTAAAATATTTATTTATAAAATGACAAAGGAAACAATTGTTTAATTTTTTTATATAGGACTTTTGAATTTACCCCAATATTACTCTGGATTAATCTTAGTTTGAAAAAAAATTAGTATGTTTTTAAATACAGAAAAATTTAAAGAGGAAAACCAAAAATTAGTTATTTTCTCATCACTAGATTTCACTCTGCCTTTAGAAAAACGGAAATATAGCCAGACTTACACAAAGGAAAACTCAGGCTTTCTTCCTGCCCAGCATGCCTGTTCTTTCATATCCAACTGGATAAGGTTTATTAAAGTTTTTCAAAAAAATAATTTACATATATTTCAATATAAAAGTATGTGATAAAAATATATGTGATTTATTTACAAAAGGGATTATTTAATACAAAGCTTTGTACATGTTGCCTTTTTCAATTAATAATTTATTCAGAGATTTTTCCATAGTAGTGAATTTTCAGTTATCCTGTTACCAGTTTTAAAAAAGGCCCCATGTTTTCTACTGATTGTATGTACCAAATTTTATTTAACCAGTTGTCTATTGATGGACGTGAAGCAAAATTTTGAAGTATTGTGTTTCAGCTGAAAAATTTTAAAACTAAAGTCTCAGACCTGTGTTAGTACTGAATTCTTTAAAATGAAAACAATTTTGACATTAAAAGATTAAATCAACTAAAATATCAATAAAGTTGAGTTTAATTTTTATTCTTTTGAATGTTTTATCAGTGTTGATCCGGATGTTGAGATGAGCACACATTGCACTATCTGTATCATATACAGCTGGTTTTCTCCTTAAACTATTCAATAAGAATTAACTTTCATTCTAAGTCAATAAATAGTAAGTTAATGTCTTCAAATAGAATGCTACACTACCACAACTAGATAACATATAAATGAAGGACTTTAAAAGAGTAATCAATTACTAGAAAGTATCATATGTGAAAAAAAGCTTGTCTAAAAATTTATTCATCACAATCAGTGTTTCTTAAAGTATAGCCTGGTCACCTTTGGTGTTTTGTGGAAAATCTCTAGGTGATTCAATTTAAGTCAACAGTTATGAAACACACTGTGAAATTCTTTGCTACACAAGTGGGTAATATCCAGAACTTATGTCCCAGTAACTCACAGTAGAGAGGGCTGCGGGTAAACAATGAATCATAATACATACAGAGTTCCCCAACCACCAGTGTGTCGAAAGGCCTGGACGAGGGTCTTGTGGTTTTGGCCTGTGTTAGAGAGAAGCCTCTCCACTGTGTTATAAAATCTTATCATTTTCTATTTATGCATAAGAAAAAATGGTTGGAAAGCTCTATTATTTAGGTAGAAGAGCTATGAGAACAGAGCATGGAGGTTGAACACTGTCTTTGTGAGTGGGAATGATATTTGAGTTCTCTAGATAAAAGCTGGGGGAAAAATAATCTTTTTTTGATTTTAAATTTTACCAGATGTCTGAGTTTACAATTTTATTTTGGCTTAAACATTGCAGCAGGCATGATTTCTACAATGAGGGAAGATCTTTACAGCACTTCTCCATTTTAGGGGACTGTGATCATCCCAAGGAGGGAGAACTGCATATTAAATAATGTGCAAAGTATTTTTACAATCTTAGTCAGAAATCTACACACTATAATCTACTTTCTTGTATTATGGGTAAAAAAATCCAGAACTAGGAAATTAATTATTATTTTCAATAGGAAATACCTGCTTGCGAGGAATTTACTTCGCCATACATCACATTGTATTGACATACGTTCTAACTGTTCAGAAAGCTGAGCTGTGTTTCGACCCAGGGCTTCATTTTCTAAAATAAGCTGATTCTTCTCACGTGCTATACGTTCAAAGTGATACTGAAGATCATCCCCAACAGAAGCCACCAGTAATTTTTTTAATTCACGATTCACCTACAAGACAAGACCACAACCAATACAACAAGCTCAAAGTAATGTCCCTGATTTAAATTTAACAGAATTAATGAAAGAGAAACTGTTTGTGTCATCTGGACCTCCATTATTTAAACTGTGCAAAAAGTGGTATTAAATATTTAAGTTTCATAATATATACAAACATTATCTATCTACACAGAATGTGGTTATAAACTGAGCCTCTGTAATAAGAGTACAAATCATTACCACAAAAATAAACTGCTTTCAGTCAATACACAAAGGAAAACAAGATCAGAAAACTAAACCAATTAATTTGCAAAAAAAATGACAGAATGTTTTGTGTGGTTTTGGTTTTTCAATATTTATAAATAAATCTCTTTGTGTTCTAGGATTTTTACTTTCAAGAATTTAAGAAAAGGAAGTAATCTAGGATACCTATAAATACACTGAAATAAATGTCCAATACAGGTATTAGTGCATGGTATAGCCACTGAAGAACACTATGCTATTAATAATTGTAAGAGAATGTTGTGACATGGGAAAACATGTATACTTAGAAATTAGTTATTTAAAGATTATTAAAATATATCAAATACATTAAAACATATTTGGACAAGAATCACTAACCCTGGTGTCACAAAGAGTAGCATCTTAGCAACCTGCAAAAAGATGTAGTCTAATAGAGAAACAAGGCAGAGGTAAGGGAGTTTTACTACCATGCAGAGGTTAAAGCAATACAATCAAGCATTATGGATTGTTGTTCATTTATGTATTTAATTATTTTATAATACTGGGGTTTGATCTCAGGGCCTCATGTTTGCTAGGTAAGCACTCTATCACTTGAGCTACACCTCGAAGTTGTCTTTCATTTATAATGAAGGCAAGATAATTTATTTCACCATTCTCTTTATTCCAACTGTTATGTATCCACAGGCAAAAATACTTGGAATTTATGGATTTTTAAAACAAGGACAGCTGACTTATTTGTCAACTTGAAAGCAGTTAATAACTGTAATCTAATTTGGTTTGGCAGTTAATAACTGCAACCTAATTTTACAACCTATGGATGGTCTTATCCAAAGCACCTCATATCTCCATCTTTGACCAGGTTTAGACTATAAGTTCCAAAAATAAACTCTGTCTAGAGGTCCTGAGAGAAAATGGGAAAGTTAAGAGGAAGCATTTTAGAGAAATGACAACCTATGATAAATGGCATTCCTGTGAAGAAATGTGGTTTTCTAATATGAAGGTACAGGTGTAAAGAGCAGTATTCATTAAAGCTATTAAGGCTGTTCTTACCTCTGTCTGTACTCGGAGCTGGTTTGAAAGTCCTTCTTTGTCCTGTAATAGCCTCCTTTCAGAGTTTCTGAGCTTTTCCAATGTAGTCTTTACCTCTGAGAGTTCCTTCCTAGGTTCTGCAAGTCCCTCTAACTGACCAAGGAATTCTCCTTTATGATATCCCAGAGACTTAACCTTTGCATTTTTATTGGGGACATCATGAGTTATAGCAGCTTTGGGAACATATATTCTTATAGCTTCAACTTCAACTGCTTTTTCAGTGACAATCTTCCCTAACTGAAGAACTCCAGGGCTTTCTGAGGGAAATGCTTTTTTCCGTGGACTCTGAAGGATGTGATGCTTTATGGGTTGGATTCCAGAAGTGACTTCAATAGACTTAGGTGGCTCCTCAGTTTCCATTCCATCTCCTGCTCCTCGGATTGGGGTTGAAGTAAGGATAACTAACCAAGGGAAACAAAACATGAATTATTTACTGCAAAGAAATGCTAGGAAATGCCAAAACTGCTTTGACTCATGTTCAGAATTAGTGACACTAAAAAGAATGAAAAAATTCACAGTAAAAAAAGTAATTTTAAAAACAATCATGTGTCAATAAAAGATGAATAAAGTCTTGTAGGCTCAAATTTTCCTTAAGTGGCTTCTCTGTTGGTAGAAAATACAGAAAAATTAGAGTCAGAGAATTTGGTTCTGACTTTTATTTCTTAATAGGACTCTAGGTACATAATCTTCCATTAATTTCTATATCCTGATATGCTAAATGGAGACAGTAGCAACCATGCCATGGTGTTACGATAAGAAGGAATGTAGTAAGACTGACTGCCTGGCACATAGCAGGCACTCAATAATGTAGTTAAAAATAAAAATAAATATCAGCTATACATACACATATTTGAAACCACCTTTGTACCTCAGAATAAACTCATCTGTTTTTGTGAATTCTTGACAAAGAATGCTTTTCACAGGGGTTAGGGAGAACATCATATATGTTACACTAGAGAACTTATCATAAAAAAATTCTACCTTATTCTTAAACCTAAAGATTTAAGTCCTGCTTACACAGTGACACTACATTGTACTGTCATATGGAACTTCCTTAGACCTCACTTTCATTGTATTTATTTCACTGGTATCCTATGCCCTCTAGTGGCTTTTAACTTATTTTAGGTACACTACATTCTCAACAAAGGCCTTGTATGTAGTACTGAATGTATACATGAATAACAATGAATTCATTAAGAACAATAAATTAATAATAATAAGGGTAAAGGATGAGTACACAGGTCAGTTACAATGATTATAATGATGAACCCTGAGTGGTCACAGACAGTAAACATGGTGCTGGGTGTTTAATGTATGCTAGACATTCTGTGAGATAGTATGGAACTCTGTGCTCAGAAACTTACTATCTAATTTAGAAGGCAGGACCTACACATAAAAAGAAAAAATGGAGACTGGAGGTGTGGCTCAGTGGTAGAACTTGGGTTTAACATGTATGAAGCCCTGGTTCAATCCCCTGCACCACAAAAAAAATAAAGAAAATAAAGAAAAAAATGTATTAAAGGGTAATATATAAGTAAATTAGTAAGGTACAATAAGTGGTACAAAATATTTCAATAGAAATTTTATTTTGTTTCTATGGAAACATTAAAGACAATCATAACTACTGATTAGTTTTTAGTGAGCTCATTGGTCTAATCAAATCTTATCTATAGCTCTATCTATCCATTATCTTAGTGAACACTTTTATGACAACAGATTTTTTTGGACTTTAAATTATTTTTCTCAAATTTTCAACTGGACATTGTGGTGATGCCTATAATCCCAGCAGCTGGGAGGCTGAGACTGGAGAATGCTGAGTTCAAGGACATCCTGGGATGGACCCCAGCTCAAGGTAAAATAAAATAGAATAAAAAACAGTGAAGGCTGAAGATACAGCTCAATGGTAAGCACTCATTTAACATGTGTGAGGCCCTAGGATATGCTCAATTCCTAAAACCACAAAAAACAAAAATCAAGTAAATTTCCAAGCATGCAGTCTGAGGGTACAGGGAAGATCAGTACAGTCATACTGCCTTCCCAAATCACTCTACTAATGTATCTGTAGACCTTTCCTTACTTCTCTAGGGTTTTTTTTTCTGTTATTTATATGCTCAATACCTGTCATTTAATACAATGTTTACAAGTAAATGAGAATACATATAAAGTGGTCAGAATGGTGGTTGGCATAGTAAATGATCATTAAATGTTAGATCTTATTTCTTTTACTAGTATTCTTCTTTTAAAAATCTAATAAACTTTGGATATTGGTAACAGAGAGAAAAGTTTACTTAATATTACAAAATATAATTCTGCTTTTCATTCCCTTATGCTAGTCTTAAAATAGTTTCCAAAACTAAAGGATTCTTTTTCACTTAATAGATTTTTGTGCCGGGTGCTGGTGGCTCACGCCTGTAATCCTAGCTACTCAGGAAAATTGGAGTTTGAAGCCAGCCCAGGCACATACTTCCATGAGACCCTGTTTTGAAAAACCCTTTACAAGAATAGGGCTGGTGGAGTGGCTCAAGGTGAAGGCCCTGAGTTCAAGTTCCAGTATTGCCTCCCCCCCCAAAAAAGAATAGGTTTTTGTTGTCATTCAAAATTTTCTTATATGTAAGCAATGTACTTGGAATTTTGAGTTACATCAGATAGAAAGATATTTAGGGGTATAGTTTACGTGTTTTACTTCACAAAACAGTTTACATTAGAATAAAATAGTGTCACTTAAATATGAAATGTGAACATTTCCACTGAACCATTTTACAAATAACTGTTCTCATGTTCTTAAAATCAAGGATCTTAGTATCAGACCACAAACTCTAAAGTTGATACAGGAAAGAGTAGGAAATATTCTGGAGTTAGTAGGTATAGGTAAGAACTTTCTCAATGAAACCCCAGCAGCACAGCAACTAAGAGATAGCATAGATAAATGGGACCTCATAAAACTAAAAAGCTTTTGTTCATCAAAAGAAATGGTCTCTAAACTGAAGAGAACACCCACAGAGTGGGAGAAAATATTTGCCAGCTACACATCAGACAAAGGACTGATAACCAGAATATATAGGGAACTTAAAAAACTAAATTCTCTTAAAACTAATGAACCAATAAAGAAACGGGAAAGTGAACTAAACAGAACTTTCTCAAAAGAAGAAATTCAAATGGCCAAAAAACACAGGAAAAAATGCTCACCATCTCTAGCAACAATGGAAATGCAAATTAAAACCACACTAAGATTCCACCTCACCCCTGTTAGAATAGCCATCATTAGCAACACCACCAACAACAGGTATTGGCGAGGATGTGGGAAAAAAGGAACCCTCTTACACTGTTGGTGGGAATGTAAACTAGTACAACCACTCTGGAAAAAAATTTGGAGGCTACTTAAAAAGCTAAACATTGATCTACCATTTGATCCAGCAATACCACTCTTGGGGATATACCCAAAAGACTGTGACACAGGTTACTCCAGAGGCACCTGCACACCCATGTTTATTGCGGCACTATTCACAATAGCCAAGTTATGGAAACAGCCAAGATGCCCCACCACTGACCAATGGATTAAGAAAATGTGGTATCTATACACAATGGAATTTTATGCAGCCATGAAGAAGAACAAAATGTTATCATTTGCTGGTAAATGGATGGAATTGGAGAACATCATTCTGAGTGAGGTTAGCCTGGCCCAAAAGACCAAAAATCATATGTTCTCCCTCATCTGTGGACATTAGATCAAGGGCAAACACAACAAGGGGATTGGACTTTGAGCACATGATAAAAGCAAGAGCACACAAGGGAGGGGTGAGGATAGGTAAGACACCTAAAAAATTAGCTAGCATTTGTTGCCCTTAATGCAGAGAAACTAAAGCAGATACCTTAAAAGCAACTGAGGCCAACAGGAGAAGGGGACCAGGAACTAGAGAAAAGGTGAGATCAAAAAGAATTAACCTAGAAGGTAACACACACGCACAAGAAATCAATGCGAGTCAGCTCCCTGTATAGCTATCCTTATCTCAACTAGCAAAAACCCTTGTTCCTTCCTATTATTGCTTATACTCTCTCTTCAACAAAATTAGAGATAAGGGCAAAATAGTTTCTGCTGAGTATTGAGGGGGTGGGGGGAGAGGAAGGGGGCGGAGTGGGTGGCAAGGGGGGGGTGGTGGCAGTGGGGAGAAATGACCCAAGCCTTGTATGCACATATGAATAATAAAAAAATTTGGTTTTAGGTTTGTCTAACTTTATCTAATATAAATTTCACTGTTAATAAGACATTCTTGCATTTAAGAATGTGTTAAGTATAGATTAATAAAAACAATAATAAAAAGACCCTATCGTCATGTCATTCAGACACACTGAGGTTGACGAAATAAGAAGCAGGCCTGATAGTCTGATTGTGGTTAAACTGGATTTCTAGGCAATTCATAAACTGTTTGAGTTGGAATTTTAAGTAATGGAGATTCAAGAACAAATCTATCTTTGACTTTTAAAGTTAGTATTAAAAGGCAAAGAAACTTCTTTTGTTTGAAAAGAGATTTCTTGTCAAACAAAATACATATTAAAATTCCAATCAAGAAGTTCATTTCAATCCCGATTTACCCTTAGCTTTATTTAAACTATTCTACTTACTGAAGCACCATGAATATCAAAGCTGTGTTATATATATGACAGCTCTTTCTCACAGTAACAACTATGATTCTAGCTGACGTACATGGGCAACCAGGCAGTGAGAGACAGTGTTTGCGTTTTTCTCACCTGGTATAATACCTTCTATAATTCTATTTTTCTCTATGACACACAAAAGAACTTTATTACATATGCGCTAGGCACAATCCGGGGCATATTCACGTGTAATTACTTCCTCTCAAAAGGGAAGACAAAAATCTATGGTACCAGCTCCATAATTATGAGTAATGCTTGCATGAAGCTAAACATTAATCTTTATTTTTCTCCACTATTTGAAGGAAACCAACAAAACGAATCCTTACTTTATCAAATCACTTCCACTTGTGATCACTTATTAGTGAATTAAAACATATCTAAGGTGTACAGTTTATTGTTACTGACTTCCCCAAGGACTGATGGCATATTAAAATAACAAACAAGGTCATGAGTCTAACACTATAGAATAGGTTTCAGCAAACTTTCTTTAAAGGCAGTAAACAGTTTAGGTTTTGGGGATCACAATGCAAAATCAAGTATAAGATCTACATACTTATATAAGACGAGAAAGAAAAACAAATTTTTGTTGACATTCAAACTATGATAATAATAGTAATTACTGAGCAAGGTCTTTTTGTAATCTGATACTGGGAAAACCAACTATTTTTTATTCTGGGTAATACTACAATCTATACTAAATTATTAATTCCTAATTCAAATTATATAGTCTGACAAGACTTTTAAAAACACTCAAACTGAGCTATAAAACACTTAAGTTAGGGATGTTACCTGGTAATTTAAAATCAACATTCTTTTAAATGTTACCAATATTGCCTAATAAAGTTTGGTTATTAAATCAGAAAAATTTGTTATAAACAATGGACTTAGGAGTGAGTTCAATATTTATTAAAGTGGTATCCAAACATTCTTCTTGCCAAAGCCTCCAGATAGAGTTTCCTGGTCAAATAAGTGTGAGCAATTCTGCATACTGTATCTCTTTGGGGCTTCACAGTGAACTTTTATACATAGGACGTAATATGCAAAGTCCTGTACTATCATCTCTCTTTTAATCTAGGATTTCTCAAATTTATCTGCTCACAGAATCCTTTTTCATCTAATCTTTACTATCCTACCTAACTACTATTAAGATTCGATTATTATTTTTTGTTTGTTTGTTTGCTGTGGTACTGAGGATCGACCTAGAGCCTTGTGCATGCTAGGCAAACACTCAACCACTGAGCTACATCCCCAGCCTAAGGTTAGATTATTTTATGGAATCATAAATATTTAAATGTCTCAGACCGTATTATTTTGTCTACTTTTACTAAACTGCCTAATTTTAACAGTTATATTTTAATCTTCTAGCCAAGAATTTAAATTTGCAGCTGTTACCGTTTATTAATAATGTCTCCCTTCCCTCTTAGAATGACTAGCTGCTCACAGCGTGAGAGGAAGTCCTGCTCCCACACCAGACAGTGACTCTCTCCTGAGGCAGTCATAGGAAACGCGGACATCTAACGATGTCAAACATTAAGTCTACTTTTTCTCACACTATGCAGAACAAACTTTTGTGCACTAACAACAGCAAACATTATACTAAGTAGGAACAGGACTAACATTGGGTTGTCTTTTTTATCGGATAATTAAGATAAAATGAAATAATGTATGTGAAAATTCTTTATAACTATAATCCTCATAGCAATAACAAAGAATAAAAAATTCACAATAAAACTTTTAATCACTCATCACATTATTGCGTTTTTTGCTTTGTGCCAGATGACATGCTAGTTGCTTTCACATTCATCATCATTTAGTTGCTCTTATTTTCCTATTCATTTCCAGTTTATTTCATTAATTGGTTTCTGCTTTACTTATTCTAATAATATAAAGCCCCCCTAGTGACTCATGAAATGTTGTTGTACACAGCTGTTATTAAATTCAATTAAGAATTTATTAGCATGATCTTTCTTTCTTGTTTCCTAAAACATATTTAACCCCTTTTAAAAAAGAGTTTGCTGCTGGAAGTCTGCTTCCTATGAAGTTTGCTTCTAGGAAATTATTTCCCATCTCTCACTGAAGGATCCGGCTAGCAAAACTCACTCTATCTAGGTCAAGATGAGCTCACTTTGGAACATATTGCCTATATGGAAGAGAAGATGGCAGTAGAATATAAGGGTCTGAAACACAAGAGACCTGGGCTCCTAATTGATTTGGAAGTTGTTCCATAGGTTAATTAATTACTGACGCTCTGAGAATGTGAGATTAAAAATGTTGATATTTAAAATATAAATATTGACATTTAAAACAAGGACAGGAGGTTACAAAAAAGAAACAAGAAAGATACAGGTAAAGCAGCACTGTCCAAAAGAATTTTCTGCAATGATAGAAATATTAACAGTCACCAGCCACATTTGATTATTGAGCACTTAGAAGTATAGCTATCATTATTGAGAACTGAATTTTAATTTTTTAGAAATGTTAATTTTAATTCAAATAGCCATATGTGGTTATGTTATTGGACAGCGAAGAGCTACAGAGCAGGCTTGACAACAAAAGTGGTGGAAAGAATTTCAAAAGGTAGGGAATGAATAGTATTATATATTACAGAAAAGACAAGCTAGACAGGTCTACAAAGTGCCTACTGTATATAGAAAGAGCTAGGGTGGAATTGCCTCCCCCTCCACCATTTATATGTTGAAGCCCTAGCTTCTAATACTCCAGAATGAAACCTTAATGGAGAACAAAATCTTTATGAATGTAATGAATTAAGATGAAATTATACAGAAGGTGGGTCCCTTATCTAATATGACTGCCATCCTTATAAGAAGCAAGTTCGAGAGAAAAATGTACACAAGGAGAATGTGAACATGAAGATAGAGATCAGGGTAGTACATACATAAGCTAAGAAGCACCCAGAATTGTCAGCAAACCAGAAGCTAGGAAAGGGGCCAAGATCTTTCCCTAAATAAGAGTGCACAGCCTTACTGACTTCTAGTTTTCAGAACTGTGAGACAATAAATTTCTGTTGTGTATGTTATACAGCTTGAAATCTTTTGTTACAGCAGTCCCAGCAAACTAACACAACCAGAAAGAGGTCTTTGATACCTGCTGGCAGTAGATCCAACTACTTAAGTCTTTAAAATGTTCATTCTTGCTTATTTAAATCTTAATCTTCTAGTGGATAGGGAAAGCAGAGGTAAAACTGTTTTTACACTAAGTGTTTAAAGGTGAACAGTCACTTAATACATCCTACTTAACGATGGTAAGGTTCAGTTGTATATTGGAGTACTGACATATAAACACTGCATTAGAAAATAAACAAGACATGAACTGAAACAAATATTTCCCAAAGAGTCTATGAGGTTTAGTCACCTGGATAAAACATTCCTTCACATCATCAAAATAAGTGTTATGTTTTACAAGCAATTATCAAAAAAAGAACACTTGAAAAAAAAGAACACTTACCTTTGGTTTCTAAACTTTTAAGAGTAGTCATTTTTTTTCTTAACTAGTGAAAGTGCGCTCCAAGACTTTCACTGAAAAACCTAGAAATGTACACATATGAAAGAATTAAAACATACCATACAAACACAATGAGTCCTTTTGCTTTAAAATTATAATATCTTAATTGTTTCTGCTTTTAGCACTAAAAGAGAGGAAAATGTTCTTTATATTTCCCTTCTCATGGGTATTAGTTATGTCTATCAAATGTCTCAAAAATTAGGCACAGTTTACCTTTAAATATTCTGTTTCACTATCCTCACCAAGTACACTCTTGTCAGAGGTGTGTCCTGAATTTTAGTTCAGATGTAACACTGAAGTTAATGTAGGGGCTTTTGTGCTATTGACATGACAACAGGAATTTTAAAGTTCTTACTCTCTCAAATGAGACATATTGACACAATTTGTTCACTATCTATTTACCTATCTATCTATATCTCAAAGAGGAGCTGATGAAATTATCCAAGGTAATTTCACTTGCACCTTTTTGGTAATAAAATGGCATAGCTGTTAAAAGTAAAATTAGAAACATACACTTGAATATATACTTTCAGAAATGTAAATACGGCCTTACAGTGTAGAGTCGGATTATCCAGGAGCATAAGAGGCAAGGTGACACCAATGAAATGATATTCATACGATGAATTGGATGATGACTGACTTCACGAAATAAAATGATCGTTCTCAGTATTGGACACAGTTCAGTACAGGTCTCTCATGACTAACTTCCTTGACATCACAGACCCTCCTTCACCACGGTTTACTGCTCTGAAAACGGGTATACAAGGACTCCAAGACTCCCGAAACTGCGCTGAAGATACGGCCAACACAGCGAGAGTCCTTCGGCAAAACACCCAGTGATAGAGTAGGGACCAGGAGTGACAGTGACAAGCCTGTCAGCCTTCGCTGTCCCGGGCAATCGAACCCGAAGTTCATCTCTGTCCAAAGAAGCCTTCCCAGAACAATCGTTCCCCAAATGCAAAGCTATTAAGGCCATCAAGCTCCAGCCCAGACCTCCGTTTTTTCCCAACCTCCTTAGCTACACAAGCCCGTTGTAGGTTTACCTCTAAGGTTCTTATTCTCCCTATTCCAGGCGGCTTCGCCTTGTAGGCTCCTCGCCTCTGTCTCACCAGGTTAATTTCACAGACTCCTCTTCTGTCCCGAGCTGACCCGCCCACGCCTTCCCGACAGCAAGCTGTTCTCTCACCTTAACCACTTCCTATTACTCAGGGTTTCGTTTCCGGAGTTCTTTTCCAAAGAAAGACAAACAACTTGTGTTTGAGCTCGAGCAACACAGAACACACAATGTAAGTGACAATTGGAAAGATGCCTATCTGAAAGTAAAACATAATACGTGGAAGTACAGTCCCATATTCGTTTGAACTTCCGGGTCATTTGTCAACCAAACGGAAGTGGAAATGCTGGAAAGAGGAAGACTGTATCCGGTTGCTCCCGGCGATAATACGAAGGGGCGGAGCTACGATTACTTCCAACCACTGAGAGATGAAGGGCGGGTGAGGCGGTGTCCCACGCAGAGACCGGCAGTGGGCGGGGCTCTGTTGCTAGAGTAACCGGATGCTGGTGTTGGCAGTGCTGTCTTCCTGTTGCAACGTTACTTACCTAGATCCCAGGGCAGAGATCTTGAAACCATGGTGAGTGTCCGAGGAGGCCGGCAGAACGGCTCCGGGGTACTGGTCACGCATTGTACCAAGTCTTTGGGTGTATGGGCACTGAGAGGAGTCCCTTCCACCTTCGCCCCTTTTAATCTCTTCCATCAGCTGTATCTGCAATCTCCTCCCCCTCGGTATTACTTGCAGTACCCTAAATGCCGCTTTAGTACTACTAAACCCTCTAAAGTAATGTAACAGAAAATAAAGGAGTAAGCGACTCTGCTAACATAAGCTGAGACATTATTTCGATTGGTCCATCTTTTGCATTTTTCAAACTTGCAGTTTCACACCAGCGCCCTTCACTGACAATATGTGGTGGTGGTGTGTCTGTGACTGTCTCAAGGCTAACCTGACTCTCCCCAAGTTTCGGAGTTTTTGCTCTCCTGAGTGGTGGAGCTCTGTCTCGCGTTTAATAATAGGTACATGTTGGCACATGGTCTGTGCTTTTCAACAGCAGTGCCTCTCAGGATCACTTGAGAGATTCTGGAATTCATTTGCTTGAGTTTTGGCTCCACAAATTCCAAATGAACAGGAATGGAGTTCAGTATTTGCATTCTTACCAAGCCTACAGGTGATTTATTTAACCCACCGCTGAAGAATCCAAGGGTTCCAGTTACCTCAATTAGTATATCTTTCAAGCATTTAAGGATGAAGGACTGGAAGATAGCAAGACTGCTCTCAGATGGGTGTAGCTGTGAATTTAGCAACGGAGGCCCCTCCTACCATGCGTTGTTTTCTACTACTGCTCAGCAGTCCTTTCTGTTACTCCAGTCTGCAACTGTCTCTGCAAGACCTTTTCATACCTACCTTCACCTTAGAAAACCTGTGTCTTCCTCCTCTTTTCTCCTTTCTAAGTAAGTAGATGATAGACTCTAATAGGCAATTTCCTCAGCCTCATATCCCAACCTATTATTTAGTCTTGTATTCCAGTTTAGAGAATGATTATCCATCTTTACTCTTGATTTCATTTGCCCCATCTATTACGAGACATTTTGTTTTTTCATTCTTGCACTTTCAACATCTTCCTCTCCAGTTTCTTTTCAGTGCTCAATTCATATATCTTATAAAAAATAAAAGAATGTTCCCCATTCTCTATCAGATTTTGTCCAATCCTTCCATCTGTGTCTCTATCTATCAGCAAACTGCCTGAAAACATAGTATTTTTATTTGCATCAGCTTCTCCCTTCCCTTTCATCTCCAAACTTCTATTACCTGCCTTCCTCTCTAATGGCTTCAATGAAGTAGCTCCTACTTAAAGTTCTAGTCTTCTGTTTTGGTGCCAAAAAATTCAAATTCTCAATATTTATTCTCAAAATTTATTTTACTTAGGTTCTCTGTGATAACTGAGATTAATGGTAATTAGTTCTTTTCTTTTATACTGGTTTTGCCTGCTTATCAAATGCCATTTTCTGGGACTCATTCCTTAATGTTTTTAATTTATTAGTTTATATATGTTCCTTGGGTGATTTTTGTCTACACCCATTTATTCTACTAGTGCCTATGATTTCACTCCTAAATTTTGATTTTCATCTTAGACCTGTTAAATTCTAACTCAGTTGCTTCCTGTATATGTATATGTGGGTAAGTCAAAGGTCCTTCAAACTTAACATGACCAAATTTTCTGATTTTCCTTCTGGTTTCTCCTATTTTCATCAAGCTAGTTTATGATATCACTATGCTATAACTGCAACTAGAAAACAGAGTTATCAGCACTATGAGTGTTGCTCAATGGTACCGTGCTTGCCTAGCATACACAAGGTTTTGGGTTCAATCTCCAGTGTGTGTACACAGACACACATCAGAGTTATACTGTTCCTCTCTCTTCTATGTTTCACTTATTCAGTTGGTCTCTATTTTAGTTTAGTATCTCCTAATTTCTTAACTGAATATCCTAATACAATAGGAGATGTGTACCATATAAAGTGGCAAAAAATGAACAAAAAAAAATCAACCCTCTTTGAATAGGGAAAATAAGGCACTATAAAAGAAAGGTAATGAGATTATCTGATCATACATATTTGTAATAGTGTATTTTCACTCTGGTCTGGTAATTCTCAGATCAATTATTTTCTCTGCCACAAGAAGAAATTTTCTGAAATTGAATCTATTGATGTTACTTAAAACTCTACACTCCCCATTCCTTATAGCAAAGTATCTAGAAAAGCAGATGAGAGCTTTTCTCTTGCCTTTTCCTTGACACTATTTTTAGCTTCTTGCTTTTCCTTGAACATACCAAAAAACTTCAACAATAGTGTGTCTTTTTCCCCCTATTTTTCCTATCCTGTTCCTTTTATCTTTACCTCTTGTTCTTGCTGTACTCCTCCTATTAGTCCTTCTAGACCCATATAAGGTAGTGCCTCTATTCTTCTATGATGCCTTTTCCTTCTTAGATAGGGTGATTCTTTGATTCTTTGTTCATTTTTAGTCACCACTTTATGTAGTACACCTCTCTTATTGTACTTGCCCCACTTAAAATGATTTGTATATTTTTTCACCCTTACTAAACAGTGAGCAGTTAGAGGAATTGCTATTTTGTTCACTGTTATTACTTAGATCACTTTTGGCACTCAACTATTTGCTGAATTAATGAAAAAAAAAGAATGTAGAAAATAGTGGAAGAAATTTCATAGTACTTGGGGAGATTGGAGAATGGAGTCCTTACATCACAATCAGAAAGTAAGAAAAGCCATCATGAAGCAAATGGAATAGAGCTGCAATAGTTAGAAATCATTGACCTATGCAAAGGCATAGGGAGGTGAAAGTGGCATGTTGTGTGTGTGTATGTGTGCCTGTGCTAGCCTGCCTTACATTTTATCATTCACAATTCTCAGCAATGCTGTGAGCCAAGTGCAGTAAACTCCTCTCCTGTCCTAAACCATTTTATACCTCTTTCTACCCCTTCCCTGCCCTTGTCATGGTAGGGGTTTCTGGTAGTGACTTGAATGCTTCATGAGGGTCCCTCTGAGGAATAGAATTTTTTGTTGAGAACTGAGTGATATAAAGTACAAAAATCGGAGGAAATGCAGAAAAGAGGTTGACATACCTCTGGAACTTACTGTACAATATAAGAAAAGGGTAGAAACTGAGTGGTATAAGGGTGCAGGGGTGTCTGTGGTGGTGGGGCAGTATGATGGAGAATAGCATGAGAGGAACTTCAAAGAGGTAATAGAGGCCAGATTACCACTCCCCCCATATACACAGTATTTTTCAAACCAGGTTATGTCTCATTACTCTATCATGAAATGATTTTGTGGTCTATAGCCAGAAATTAAAAAGAAGGCATAAAATAGAAAGTTAACATATTTATTGCATGTAGTAAGGGTAAATTTTGTGAGCTTTTGGTTTAAATTTTAGTACATACTCAATGTATGTGAATATATATATGGTATGTGTATTGTATAAAGTGTTTCTTACTGTGGTCATAATCCATGAACTTCAAGATACACTGTAGTTTAAACAATATTTACTTTAAAGAAAAATAGGTGAAATCTCAAGATATGCATATTTACTCCTCTTTTGACATAGTGTCAGTGTTTTCATTAGGTGGCAGAAAAAGGTTGAAATTTAAACAAAGCCAAAAATGGGCTATAGCAAACTTTTCAAGTTTCTCTCTGCATCTAGATCTCTCTCCTACATCATTTGCTGCTAGTCCTTTCTGATAAAGAGTGGGCTTTTTGAACAGGAGAGGGACATAACTATCCCTACTCTGTGTGGAGTCTAGGGACAGGCATATGTATTATATAGGGCAAAGGCTGATGGTCTCTTTCTAAGTAACTGAAGATGGAGGTTGTTTGCTCTGTTGGTGTTGCTTGTTGACCACTGTAATTTAATTGGATGGTCGGCATCTGTTTGCATCTGGTTTGTTACAGTTGTGACTTCCAGCACCAGATTTAAGTTGTGTTCACAGATTCTAGAACCACCTTTTTCTTCTGAAGCAGATATAAGCAACTCTAGTTTAGCATGCTTCTCATATATGTTTAAGATAAAAAGATCTAGTTTTAGTATTAGAGTTATCAGTTCATTTTATGTATAAACAGAGTAGAGAAGGAAATTCTAAGACCCATTTTACTAACAAAGAGGAATGAATATTGTATAACTTTTAAAATATAGCATTTATTTGAATATTGTTACCTCAGATGAATTGCTAGTATAAGTGGACTTTAAAGACTGTCAGCCATATTCAGTAAGAATTTGTCTAACCCTTTGAAGTACACATGTCTCAAAGTTGTTATTTAAAAGAGCCAACAAGTTTCATGGTAATTAAATAAAGAATTGAATTTTATTTCATGAATCTTTTTTCAGTATCCAACATTATTTATAAAATTTCTTCTAAATAACTGTATTGTTTTTTGTCTTTGACATCTCCTTTTTATCCATCCAGAATTCCTTTTGTTATTTGCACTGTTAATTTGGAAGATGTATTCCAATTTATTGCAACTGAATCAGAAAGTATAGAGCTTAAATTAGAAATCTGACACTTAAAAAAAGGAATCATTTTTTCCTATGTATTTAATTACAAATGTAGTCTACAGCCTGTTATATTCTTTAACAGGAATCAGTAGTATTTGTAAAACTGAATAACAATGATTAATACCCTAATTTCCCTCACATGTAACTCTTTATTTTTTCTGTCCTTTTTCTG